TCGGTAAGTAAGGACTTGTGTCGCTAAAGTTTCGTACGGAACGAAGTTACGGAAAATCAATTAACAAACGGAGACGTAACAGTACATATACAGAGAACCGTTTAGATGCATTTCTTTAATGGCAATGTGGTCATTTACCCTTTAACTTGTGTCATTTACCTTCGAAACTTGAGTTATTTACCTTTTAAATTGTGTCATTTACCTTTGAAACTTGAGTTATTTACCTTTTAAAATTGTAGATAGTAAGTTGACTATTTTCTAAATAAGCTTCTGGAAATTTATCGGATGAATGCATTGAAGCTTTTAGCGATCTGAAAAAGCGACAAAGTAATGTTTACCAAAAATATAAATGATTAAAGCAAACATTTCACGTTAACAAAACAGTCATGTTCTTTATGCACAACGGAGTGGTTTTAATCTCTTCTCAGGAAAAACGGAACTTTACTGAAACAGTTTTTCTATTTTAACTGAAACATTTGTTTAAGGAAACTAAAGAAACCACACATTGAAAAGTTTCACAAGCTTGTTTGTTATGAATTTCGTGCAAAGCTACACGAGGGCTATATGCGCTAGTCGTCCCTAATTTAGCAGTGAAAGACTAGAGGGAAGGCAGCTAGTCATCACCACCCACCGCCAACTCTTGGGCTACTCTTCTACCAACGAATAGTGAGATTGACCGTTACATTATAACGCCCCCACGGCTGACAGGACGAGCATGTTTGGTGTGACGGGGATTCGAACCAGCGCGCCGCAGATTGCGAGTCGAGCGCCCTAACCACTTGGCAGCTTCACAAGCTTCCTCTGTTGTTTGAATTTATGCTGATACTACTGGTAGTTATCAGTCAGTATTTTCCTGATAGATCTAAATATGGTTTTTAAACCGACTCAAATGAGGCCAAATGAGTCTTACAAGAAGAATTACAAACTTCATGTAAACAATAATATAAGTTTTGCCTTTGAAAATTGCATCTAGTTTTGGAAAAATGTTCATTGTTACTTATATACAAAACTATAGATCTGTACATTGTTACTTATATACAAAACTATAGATCTGTTCATTGTTACTTGTATATAAAACTATAAATCTGTTCATTGTTACTTATATACAAAACTATAGATCTGTTCATTGTTACTTATATACAAAACTATAAATCTGTTCATTGTTACTTATATACAAAACTATAGATATGTTCATTGTTACTAATATACAAAACTATAAATCTGTTCATTGTTACTTATATACAAAACTATACATCTGTTCATTGTTACGTGTATATAAAATTATAAATCTGTTCATTGTTACTTATATACAAAACTATAAATCTGTTCGTTGTTACTTATATACAAAACTATAAATCTGTTCATTGTTACTTTTATACAAAACTATAGATTTGTTCTATAGTTTTGTATATAAGTAACAATGAACAGATCTATAGTTTTGTATATAAGTAACAATTCTGTTCATTGTTACTTATATACAAAACTATAGACCTGTTCATTACAAAATGAGGATGTTTATTATTTTATTTTTTTATATTTTAGAGACACTTGTTTAAGAGAAGTTTCACAATATTGTTATATTACTATAAAAATATTATGTTATTATAAAAATATAAATTATTTAAACCCAGAATGTAAAGAAAAATGCATCATTTTATCCAATAAAACCGCTAACCCACTAGAAATTAGAAGCAAAAATGAAGATTTCATAGTGACTCTATCTGCAACTGGTAAGGATGATTATTTATATATACTACACAGAATACTCTGCTGCCATCTTAGAAACTAGTCAAGGGACGAAAACAGAAATGTTAACTTCTTTACAATTATTTCATGGTGAATATTATTGAGCAGCTGACAACTTACTTATGGTAACTGTCTTAAACAGTTTGATCTCAAAATTTGTTTTTGATTAAAAATTTTAATGGTATTATCCAAAGTTACATGTTAAAGGGTATAGTTGGAATGAGTGTAGCATTAATACATTTTTTATTTATTTTCCATTTAAAGAAGCTGCCAACTTATGTAATACCGTTAAAGTTTGGCTGAATTATTTACTTCTTGAGTGATCGTTAAGTAATAATGTGGGTTTATAATCATATATATATTACAGTTAGATAATAACTGAAATATTACACATTCTTCTGCACAATCCCCAGGTGGAACAGCGGTAAGTATATGTACTTTCAACGCTAAAATCCTGAGTTCGATTCCCCGAGACGGACACAGCAGAAAGCCCAATGTAGACCCCATTGGCTCAGCGGTAAGTTTGGAGCTCACACTGCTAAAAATCGGGTTTCGATACTCATGGTTGCCAAAGCACAGCTAGCCCATCGTGTGACTTTGTGCTTAAAAACAAACTCCTGCGCATTACCAACACCCATGAAATCTGAATTCCTCTGTATTCGTTGACCTGGTTATACTTCAGATGTAAAGAATGTGTGTTACCTTGTTTATTGATGCTCAGCATCATCATGGTCATCAAATTAATGACACTTTATATTTATATATATATATATGTGTGTGTGTGTGTGTGTACTCGTTTTATATTTTGTTTTTCCTATTTCGTTTCTCTGTATTTTTTAAAATCATTATGTAATAACCAAAGTAGTTATATATTATGACTTGTACTTTTTCCTTCTTTTATCACTATATATTGGATTAGGTACTTTAGGTATACACTGGTTGGTGTTTTTTGAACAAATGTTTATTTAGAATTTCATATATTTTGATTTAAACAAAGAGGTGCAAGAGTGAGACATTTTTTAAAAATTTGAGTCATGATGGGAATAGTATTGATTTGCTTCCTTCCTCGCAGACTCGCAATCTGAGGGTCGTGGGGTCGAATCCCAGTCACCGAACATGCTCGTTCTTTCAGCCGTGAGGGCATTATAATGTTACGGTAAATTCCACTGTTCGTTGGTAAACGTGTCGCCCAAGAGTTGGCGGTAGGTGTTGTTGTGTTAACTAGCTGCCTTCCCTTCAGTCTGTCACTGCTAAATTCAAGATGGCAAGCGCAGATAGCCCTCGTGCAGCTTTGCGCGGAGTTCAAAACAAACCAAACTTTTAAACATCTCCTTCAAATACCACGATGGGAAGCGCATTGACTTGGCAGTATTCTGGTTTTAAAATCTAACAAGCCCCGAAGGGGCTTGAAAGACAAACGGGAGGCTAAGAAACCGTTGTTTCTCTTCGCCCCACTCGCGATATTAAGGTTAGTTGTTTTCATGAATGAATAGGTTGTTAAACTAGTGGCTTAGATTTTAAACTGGGTTAAGATTACTAGTGTAGTTTAAAAGTTATTGACTCGTGGTTGACTATGGGTAGAGCGTGAACTTGCTCTCTTTTCTTCACTGCAGTAGATAGTGCATGAGTAGTTACTAAATATTCGTTTAAATTATTCCTTTACAGTTGTAATTACTTAAAATTCAAAATTAATAAATACATACTTTCAATGCTTAACTCCTAATTCATCACACATTTGTTGGACGAAGACTTTTATACATTAGTCCCATTTTCATTCTGTTAATTGTCCATTTTTTCAGCGTTCCTTGATTAATTTTCAAACTGTTCACATTCGAAGTTGCCTCTGAAGAAATAGACTGTGCTTACAAACTCACATTTTTCCAATAATAATTTGTGTTTTATCACTTAACAGAAGTTTGGAAAATATATAAGTAATATGAAATATAATATTTATATGCAAAATATATATATATATCAGTTACAATAATCAAGAAACGTTTAAAAGTAACAATGAATCTGTTTGTTTACTCAGCAGGGCTTAACGTGTCTTCTATCGACTGTGGCTCCCCTTGGTGGCTGAAGAAAAATGTAGCTCGTTACAAGCGTTCACCCCAAGCTGACCAAATTTTAAACAACCCGTTTCTTACCGGAGAGACGTTAAGTGAGGGTATTAGTGAACTGAAAGCATTGCCTCAAACCCTCTCTCAGAGGATATTATCACAGAATAATGCTACACAACTACTGCAGTTACATGATATAAATCCTTTTATCCCGCCACAGACCCAGTCCACGAGTTTCGTCAGAACAGTTGAAAATCGAACACACAATAGACAGGGTGGCGTTTCCTTGTCCAAAAGCTCAGCCAACATAGACTTCAGTAATAGTGGTATCACAGGAAGCTTTGGAGATTCTGGCTCAATTTTGGTATCTACCCAGTATTACCTTCATACGAAACTGACAGGGTTTTTAAACCAGCCTCGGAATTCTTTTGTTGAACCATCCCTTAAAGAAATTTCCAGAAGCGCTATATATCACAGGTTCCGTGACTATGGGCTGAAAGTTTTGTTACAGAACTTTACAGCTACGGAGGTAGTAGATATATTACCGGTAAGAACATTAATTACATGCAGCATTAAATGAATTTGTCTAATTGTGATTAATTTACACATACCGTGGATTAGATTTTAAAATGTTTTTAGTTTTTTACGAATAAAAATCGTAAAAAATGGAAGACGTTTGAAAATAACCAAACTTTTTTTTGTGTGTGTGTGGAAAAAATGTTTCCAGCAAACCAATGATGCCACAATTTCATAAGTTGTGTTTTATTATATGTATTCCATAGTTTAATGTCGTTTTTTATAATCCTGACTTCTGATTTGTCAAAATACCCGTTACTCTCCAGCCAGAATTGCTAATTGATGGAGTCTTAAAAGGAGTCAATATAATTGGAGAGCTTACAGGCCAGAATCGTGGAAGTCCAGAAGATGGAATCTTGGTTGTTGGAGCTCATTACGATACGGTCTTCTTTACAAACGGTAAGAAGTGTAGATTTTGTTAGATTATATTTGTAATGCTGATAGATCTTTACAAACTGTAAGAAGTCTAGATTTTGCTAGAGTATATATGTAATGCTGATAGATCTTTACAAACTGTAAGAAGTGTAGATTTTGTTAGAGTATATATGCAATGCTGATAGAACTTTACAAACGGTAAGAAGTGTAGATTTTGTTAGATTGTATATGTAATGCTGATAGATCTTTACAAACTGTAAGAAGTCTAGATTTTGTTAAAATATATATGCAATGCTGATAGAACTTTACAAACGGTAAGAAGTGTAGATTTTGTTAGATTGTATATGTAATGCTGATAGATTTTTACAAACTGTGAGAGGTCTAGATTTTGCTAGAGTATATATGCAATGCTGATAGAACTTTACAAACGGTAAGAAGCCTAGATTTTGTTAGAGTATATTTGTAATGCTGATAGAACTTTACAAACGATAAGAAGTGTAGATTTTGTTAGATTGTATATGTAATGCTGATAGAACTTTACAAACGGTAAGAAGTGTAGATTTTGTTAGAGTATATTTGTAATGCGGATAGAACTTTACAAACGATAAGAAGTGTAGATTTTGCTAGAGTATATATGCAATGCTGATAGATCTTTACAAACTGTAAGAAGTCTAGATTTTGTTAGAATATATATGCAATGCTGATAGATCTTTACAAACGGTAAAAAGTGTAGATTTTGTTAGAATATATATGTAATGCTGATAGAACTTTACAAACGGTAAGAAGTGTAGATTTTGTTAGAGTATATTTGTAATGCTGATAGAACTTTACAAACGGTAAGAAGTGTAGATTTTGTTAGAGTATATTTGTAATGCTGATAGAATTTGTGGACTTTGGTTAATATAATTGTATGAGTGTATGTAACATTCCAAACATTCTGGTTGAAAACATTAAAAAAGTAAAACCATTTATATCAGGATATACCATGAAAAAATGATAAACACTATTGTATCATGTTGTTGTTGATGATTTTTTTTGCTTTTGTTCGAAACGTTTACGTTTCCATACCTTTAATTGCTCAACCAGTTGTGTTTCCATACATTTGATTCCTCAATCAGTTGTAAACTTGTACAGGAAGTAGACGGGATCACGAGAAATATAAAGATCACCTATACTATTCCTTGTAGGTCAGGACATCACAGTGTCATGGTGTTTAGGTATCAGTGATGGCAAATAGGACATCACAGTGTCATGGTGTTTAGGTATCAGGACATCACAGTGTCATGGTGTTTAGGTATCAGGACATCACAGTGTCATGGTGTTTAGGTATCAGTGATGGCAAATAAACAAATCGATTTTTTAGTACATTTTATTACAAAAATACACCGAAAATTCTGTCCAGGATTTAACTTAAGTCCGGCACCTTTTGCACACACGGGTGTTCGAGAACACTGATTTTCCAACTGAATTGTTAAAACCCAAATGACAAGCATACAGCTACCCATAAAAGAATCATGGGCGTCCGCAGAATTGTTTTTCAGGGGGAGAAAGGTAGTGTGAAATTATGAATTGAATAGAAAATTCACATACATATGCTGAATGAATAAAGAAAGAATTATGTTTCTCGTTTTTCAGGAGCGGGCAAGTGTTCCCTCCTGCTACCCCCCACCCCACCCCGCGCGGACACCCATGAGTGTCATGTATCCTTACTCTCCCTGGTACTTTAAGACAACATCGCACAACTTGGTACAAAAGTCTTAAGATGTTAAAACTGTTTGACCAGTTTTTTACTAATAGTAGTGCTTTACGAGTGATGCCGTAAAGATGTTAACACTATTCGACCAGTGTTTTGCCAAATGAACTAGTAGTGCTTTGCGACTGATGCGGTAAGGATGTTACCACAATTTTACCTATACTGTGCCAAATGAACTAATAGCGATTTACGAGTGATGCCGTTAGAATGTTAATACTGTTAGACCAATGCTTTGCCAAATGAACTAGTAGTGCTTTGCGACTGATACGGTAAGGATGTTACCACAATTTTACCTATACTGTGCCAAATGAACTAATAGTGATTTACGAGTGATGCCGTTAGAATGTTAATACTGTTAGACCAATGCTTTGCCAAATGAACTAATAGTGATTTACGAGTGATGCCGTTAGAATGTTAATACTGTTAGACCAATGCTTTGACAAATGAACTAATAGTGATTTACGAGTGATGCCGTTAGAATGTTAATACTGTTAGACCAATGCTTTGCCAAATGAACTAGTAGTGCTTTGCGACTGATGCGGTAAGGATGTTACCACAATTTTACCTATACTGTGCCAAATGAACTAATAGTGATTTACGAGTGATGCCGTTAGAATGTTAATACTGTTAGACCAATGCTTTGCCAAATGAACTAATAGTGCTTTGCGAATGATACCAAAACAGTACACTCCTAAGGGCATAACACATATCCACAATGGATATATAAGTGATATTTTATAACGCTGGCAAAACAATTCTAATTTGTAGCATTAGTATTTAAGTATAATTCTGTTTTACTAGCTGAACTAGCAGTGATCTCAAACTGATGTTATACGACCTGACCGATAATACAGCACATGAGCTAGAGGGAGTAAAGTCTCCAATAGTCCCCTTCCGCTTCTCCTAACATTATTAATACTGATTAACCAGAATGAAGACCAAAAGCACGGAAAAGTTTATAATATTGAGATTCAAACATGGTATCAGTACGAATATAGCTTTTTATCCTTACATTATCCTCTGTTTTTAAACCTACAAATGATGAAATATTTGTAGAATTCAACCTGAATGGCACCTTATGCGACGTATGAGTAAGAAGATCCGTCAAAGACCTCTAGGGTTTAGGTAGAGCCATCCCTATTTTTGAACTACTTACTGGAGAGAGAGAGAGCACAGTCAATTATCAGTGCCCGCCGAACAAGGGCTTTATCTGCTTCTTTGAATCAAATAATGGGATTTACTGTAATTTTTGCAACATGTTCAAAGCTGAAAATGCGAAATTTGTTTAGCGGCATCACGACTCGAACCCTAGACTGTTCTTACTACACCCTCATTAGGCTAGTCTCGGGCCGAAAATATTAAAAAAAAATTCATTATATTTCTATTTTACTTTTAATTAAAAGAGTGATTAAATAATAATGTGTTTATAGAATTTATTTACAGAAAATAAAAGTATTGCCAATAAGTATTTTGGTTCTATTTTTAAATAGGATGAAAAACAAACAAACATTGTATTTGCAAACTTTCTAGAACAGATGAAAATTGTGCCCGTTAAGAATTGATAAAACGTAATATTTCAAGAAATAATTGTAATTTTGTACATTTAAGAGTTAGAGTTATTCCAAACTTTCACTTTTCTTCACTCATTTTCATCAGTTATTACTTCAAAAAGAAGTGCCACTAAATTTACAAATAACAAAATGCCTATAATAGTTTTAAATATATTATTCGGAAATTTCTTTGGCCTATTGTTCAACTTGTTTTTTAAAAGATTATTTACTCGTCTTTAAGTTTAATGATTTGTTTGTGTTTAAGCACAAAGCTCCACAATGAACCATCTGTGCTGTGCTCACTGCATGTATCGAACCTCAATGTTAACATTATAAGCCCTGAAACTTACCGTTGAGCCAGGGGGTCCGATTTTGATGAAGAAAAGAGATTTTGACTAACGTAATCTAAGCGGTTGTTCTAACTTATCTAAATTACGTAACCACCGATAGTAGTTATATTTTTTCCCACACTTGGTGGTCAGGTGGTATGCTCGTTCTTGTCGAAATATTTGGAGATACTAACTTTCACATATTGTTATTACTATTATACTTTTGATTATAATAACATTTCTTTATTTTCTAATATTCCAGATTAGTTCTTTTCTAGGCTACTTAATGAATTATATTTGCAGGTGTTGATGATAATGGATCAGGAGTGGCCGCCATGTTGGAAGTTGCTCGGATCCTTTCAGTAGCACAGTGTCGACTCACTAATACTGTACTATTTGTAGCATTTGACCTAGAGGAATTAGTAAGTATTTCTCAACATTATTATTTTATTCTATTTTACTCAAAATGTATAATCAAATAGAAGCCTAAACAGATCATTGATATAGAATAGAGGTAAATAAGAGTTTCAACTACAAAAACGTGGATGTTGTATAAATAAATGCCTTTATATTTTGTCATAAAAGTTCTACACCTCTATAAATTACACAACACAATATCTGAATGTATATTCAAACAAAGATGAATGGTTGTTGTTTATTATTAAGCACAAAGCTACACAAAGGGCTATCTGTGCTCTGCCCACCACGGGTATCGAAACCCGGTTTCTAGCGGTAGAAGTCCGCAGACATACCACTGTGCTACTGGGGGGCAAGGTGGATGGTATCTTATTTTATAATCTCAAAGAAACAATCCAATATATTTGTACTATATCGCCAGAAACAAAGTTATAAAAATACGTAAAAAATAACAATACGCCATTTCTAGCATTAGAACACAATCCAAAGAAAATAAAATAGATTTTTTTTCTATTAAAGTAAGAAATTCATAAATTTTACATGCTCACGAAACTCCAGTAAATTAAAAATTAAATTTTCAGCGAATCACATTCAGTGTAATGGTTTTAAACTTCGTACTCGTGTGTTATGTTTGTTACAGGGAGGACTTGGGAGCCATCGCTTTGTCCATGAGTACTTGTTCCCTCGAGAACTTCAGCATGGACGAGGCTACTTTCAAGGTGCTTTCATCTTGGACTCAGTTCTCAACTACAACGGCTCTATAGGTTCCCAAGACTTGCCAGAAGATTTTCAAACGGTAGGTTTCAGTTTTCGCTTAGATTCCTTTAAGAAATCCAGCAATGAGAAAACAGGCAGATGAAAAACAAACAACAACATGAAAATCACAATTCGTTTGTTTGTTCATCCCGAACTTTAATGGCTGGAATAGTGTTCTTATATATGTATATACATTTCATAGTACCAATAAGCCTCATATTATTGAAATATATTGTTACGTCTCCGTTTGTTAATTAACTTTCCGTAACTTCGTTCCGACGAAACTTTAACGGCACAAGTCCTTACTTAATAAAACTGGTTTATTCTATCCGAATACAATATTACGATACACTTATTTTCAACAATCGCGCTAAAACAAACGCTATATCAACGAACGTCGA